AAATTACAATGGCTAGTGCAGGGGGCGAACACTAGAAAGCTTGAAAGTTTTTTGAAAGACTAATACCCCCTATAATAGACTTAGCAACAATAACCCAAATGATTCCAGTAGACGTCTTTTGGCCGAGGAATCATACTAAAATTTTCTAATTTCTAACTATTTTACAATTAAATGAAATATTTACAAAGTGCAGCCGAAGTGCAGCGGCTGCGATAGCGTCACGTGGCTCAAGTAAAGCTGCTGCTCGTGACATAGGGGCTTAGTAATCTTAAGCCCTAAACAAGAGGAAAATGCTAAAATTCATTTGCCTTTTTAAGTAATATCTCTGAGAATACTTCTCCATTCAAGAAATTATCAATACTTAGTACTCGTTGATAAAACTTTGCTGAAATGTTATATCTTTTCAACTGTCAAACTTCAATTTTAAATGCACTTTCATAGGACTCAAAACTTTTATCAACTTTTCAATTACACATTTCATCAACCTCTATCAATATCAACTAAAAGTTTTATCAAAAAATGTTGATTCTTGAGTAATGACTTCTCGTTTAACTATCCAAAAACACCTACTCTTTCATATTATAAAAACAAGCCAAGTGCATGTTTCATGGGAAAAAATGAGTTTTGAATAGTATTTTTTATGAGAATGTGTGGTTAAAAACTAGGGAAAATTTTTTGGTATACGTGTAGAATATTTTATTGTGTAAATGTGTTGTTGGAAATGATTCTATTGCAAACCATAAAATAAATCAATGTGTGTCAAACAGGCACTAAAAAGCACATGTTTAAATACGTAATTCGAATACAATATGAAACGGGTATGTTAATACAACTTTCTTAAAAAAATAGAATATTCGGATATGTGTGTGTCTACGTATATAATTTTATCTTAATATTTAATTGTCCCAATTTCATTTTCTTTAACATCACCAAAATCAATTTTTCATTATCATAAAAAATAACACGTTTCAAATCTGGATCATCTAATAACAAATTAGCAACCTCAAGCAGCCCAATACCTTCAAATGTATCAAATGACTCTCCGACAATATCATACATTTTGAATTCTATTTTTGAATATAAATTAAATACTATTATCTATTTTTTATAATAAAAATAAAATTTTCAACTATTAACACGATTTTATACGTATTAAAGATTTAATATTATTGTGTTTTTTCAATAATTTTAGTTGTCAATTAAATTAAAACCCTAGTTGTATATTTCCAATAACCATTATCTATTTTCAATAAATTATTGATAATAAGCCACTGATTGGCTTCCATTATTTTAAAACTCTTTTTGTTACAAGATCATTTTCAACCACACATTCACACAATAAAATATTTTGCATGTAAAACCAAAACTTTTTCTTACTTTTTAACCACATATTCTTTTAAAAATACTATTCAAAACTCTTTTTGTTTTTTTTTTTTGAAATAATGGGCACCAAACAGGGGTTAATAATAGTTATCTATAAGGTAAAAAAAATTGTCAATCTGTAGTCAATTATAGTGAGTTTTAAAAGAATTTAAAACCAATAAAACTCCTCTTCACGTGTCTTAACATATCCGATACATATTAAAAAATAATTAAAACTATGTATTCGATATGTATCGAAAATTTATAAAATATAAAATAATTAAAGAATACGTATCCGGTACATATCAGAGAGTAACCAAGCTCGGATGCGCATCATATACGAATACGTAAAGAGATTACAAGTATTCGTACTTCTTAGGAAATTGGAACTAAATTAAATACAAACAGAATTGTAATAAGAACAAAATGATTATCCGAGCTCATTGACTTCACGATGTGTCTTAAAGAAGAATGTACTACAATCTATGGTGCTTAAAGGCAATCAGCAAGTCTTCCAATATAAATGAATTTCGTCCCTTATAGAGGTGGTAACAAACTCAAGTTTGTGTGTTTTATACTCAAAATACAAAAACATAATTTAGAGAATAAGGAGAATTTAAAGAAAATGGGGATTTCAAAGTAGAAATATTATTGAATTTGAATGGTGTGATTTTTCTTGTAAAAGGCAGGCTATTTATATTGTGTTCTAATCATTTGAACAGTCGAAAAGCCTCTTCAAGAATAGTGGTGACTGTTCATACAATCTTTCAAATGAATAGAGGTGTCTATTTTGGGCGGAAAATAGAAGTATATTACAACCGATCATAGACGTTGGATGCAGTCAGTCATAGACGTTGATTACAGAAAATAGATACCAATTACACAAATAGATGTTGGTCACACCCAGAAAAAATCTGAAAAAATAGTGAACTATTTATTCGAAATTTAAGACCGTTAAAATAATTTCATCCAATACCCAAAGAATTTTTTTAATTACAATTTGGTTCAGAAAATTTAAATAATTTTTCTCCAAAAAGATATATGTGAGATACGAACCCGCAGTCGATTGGTGATGACCACGGTGCACGTATGGTTCAAACCCAATGGTATCTAGGTTATCAACCTTTCTGCAAAAGTGGTTGCCCTTTAAGACCCAAACCCAAAGGCCAAACTTGCACCTTATAAACCAAGTGTTTTCCCACTAGTTTTCCACCAAATTGTTATTGTGTAAAGTTTCACGTGGGTGACTTTGAATTCAAATATTTTATTTAGGATGTGTTTGAATCTAATTTTGAGAAGAATAGAAATTTTAGAATAGTGATTGATGTGAGAATGTGTGGTGAAAAAGTGATGAAAAGTTTTTGATTTGTGTGTAATATTATTTTATTTGGAGAATGTGTGGTTGAAATGAAGAATGAGAATGAGAATGGAAATGAGAATGAGAAATTAATGGGTGCCAAACGGGGGCTTAATACTTAATGGTTTTTGACAAATAAATATACAATGTTATTTATCTCGAGGAGTATAATATGAATATGTTTGGTCCGGTTTATTTTGGAGTTTGGATCCCATTGAAATTTTGAGCTCAAAGTTGCTCAAAATAAAACCATTTCCAAGAAAACTTTGACACACACGTCTAGATTTGAGTTTTTTGCTAATTAGAAATGGTGCAATGCTCTTTTCTTGCGACAATTATATAGATTTTGTCGAGAACTAAATACTTGAATAGATAAAACGGAGAAACATTGCTGAACTTACTAAATAGAAGCTTGTCAAGGCTCTCGTTTGCCACATACTCATAAACAAGCAGCTTCTCTGTATCATAAACACAGTATCCCAACAAATTCACCACATTTTTATGCTGCATTCGCGTCAACAACTTCGCCTCAATCTGAAACTCTTTCTTACCCTGAGTTGAGCCATGTGCTAGTTTCTTCACAGCTATTTCTCTCCCATCATTCAATTTTCCCTAAAAATTAAAAATGCCTAGAGTCAAAATCGAGGCTCTGCTGATAATTCACGCAAAGTAACCGACCCCACTCATGAAAAAGTTTTTTTTTTTCTTTTTCGCAAGGTGAAATTCAAAATGCCCAGAAGCCAAAATTCAAGTTTCTATTCTAAGAAGACTGAAAATTTGATGATTCTTACCTTGTAAACAGGGCCAAATCCCCCTTGACCAAGCTTGTTTGTGGGGTGAAAATCCTTGGTTGCAGCTTTAATGATTTCAAAAGGGAACTGCTTCTGTTCTTGTGCGGCAATTGCCTCCAAGTCCTCTTCCGTTTGCCCTTATCAAATAATCGAAACAACAATCAAATAAGCCCCACAAACACACAGAAACACAAATAATCCAAAAACAGAGTGAGATTTTACCTCTGTTTGAGTTGGAAGTGAAGGGCTTCAAAAGGTTTTGAAGGAAGTTCTTGGATTTATTACTCATCGCACCATTTCATGAAGAGATTAATTAATCAAGACACTAGCATAAGTTTGATTAATTTATTCTCTATTTTTGGAACTTTGTATTGTGTTAAAGTGAGAATTGGTAAATGCCAATGAAAGAAAACTTGCATTTTGATGTTCGATAAGCATGTGACGAAAGAAATGAGCACTGGCTCGGGGTTGACTTTTCCAGAAAGCATTGGATCTTGCTACCAATGTATTACATAATAGAATATGTAATATGATATGGTATTCCATCATTTGTCAATTTAAAATAAAATCAATTTTTTATACAATATTTTCTCTCAACATCATTTTATATAATCAATTATGTACAAGTGGCATAATTCTTTAGCATTTGTTTGGTCTTCATTAAATTATAATTTATTTTTTTCTATTCTTATCAACCACTCGTTCTTCAATAAAATAATATTACATATAAATTCAAATTCTTTTCAATATTTTCAATCACATATTCTTCAAAAAATAACTATTACAAAATCAAATTCTCATTATAATGAGGGAATAATGGGAGTCAAACGAATGCTTCGCATATGTTTGAAAGACATCTTTTGAGAAACAGTTTATGTAGGCTCTACTGTCATATTTTGGTGGAATCATGCTAATATTTAAATCTTTCTTTATACCCTGCTCTCATATATACATGTAAAATTATATTATCAGCACGAGTTTTACTAGTTACATCGCATTATAATTACACTACAATTAAAAGATGTTTTAAGTAAATATACCATTGTTATAAAAAGAGAGAAAAAAGAGGAGAAAATAAAAGTTAATAGATTTATGTATTTTATTGAAAACCAATGCCCTGTATTTATAGAGTTCAAAATGAGAGTTACAGTTGAAATTAAATAAGCTCTTCTAAACTAGATAAAACTTATCTATGTATCATGATAATACTAAATAATCATCAATAATCATTTCATTATTTTACAACACTCCCCCTTTAACGATTATTTGCACAATAACTGGCTCATTAAAAACCTTGTTAAAAAAAAACACAGTAGGAAAAAAATCAAACAAAGGAAAAAATGTGTACATTTAATTGTCAATATTTTGGAGTATAAAGAAAAAGTTACCTCATTAAAACCTTGTCAAGAACACCCAGTGGGACAAAACCTAGATTAATAAAAAGAGTACAACAACTCCCCTTCATGAAAATCATTGAAGATCTTTGAGTTGAAACATTTCAATCTTGTGTACCAATTTCTTGAATGTTGATGTCGACAGTATTTTTGTGAATAAATCTGTCACATTTTCACTTGAGCGAATTTGTTGAACATCGATGTCGTCATTCTTCTGAAATTCATGTGTATGGAAAAATTTTGGAGAAATATGATTCGTCATGTCACCTTTGATATAGCCTCTTTTAAGACGTGCAATACAAAATGCATCTTCTTCATACAAAATTGTTGGACTATCTTTGTTGAAGTTAATTCGCATGCTTTTTGGATATGATAGGTCATGTTCCTCAACTATACACATTATCTGCATATTTTATGGATTGCAATAATTTCATAATGATTTGAGAATGTTGCCGTCAAGAATTGCTTCACAGATCTCCATGATATAACTGTTCCTCCGTATGTAAACACATATCCCGTTTATGAGCTTTAGGTGGATCAGAGAGATAATCTGCATCTGCATATTCCACCCGACTTTTGAGAATAAAATAATCTTAAATCAATAGTACATTTTTAAGTAACGAAAAATGTGTTTAACACTATTCCAAATATCTTTGAGTTGGTGTAGAGCAATACCTTGCAAGGAAATTTACAGAAAAAGTTATATCAGGTCAGTTCAGTTTGCAAGATAGGTTAATACTCCAATTACACTAAGATATGGTATTTCAGGACCAAGAACATTTTCTCCATCTTCAAGTGAACGAAATTGATCTTTTTTCACATCAAGTAACCGAACAACCATATGTGATGCCAATTGATGTTCATTTTTTATATAAAAACGTTTTAAAACATTTTGTTATGTGTAGATTGATGAACAAATAATTAATTTGGGAAATGTTCAATTTGTAACCCAGGACAAAATTTAGTTTTTCTAAAATCTTTTATCTCAAATTGTAAATTCAATATTTATTTTCTTTATGAAAATACCTATGCAGACATCGTCATTTTTATAACCCTCTCTCAAAAAATATTCGCTAAGACGATTATACCTCATACGTTAGGATTGTTTCAATACATATAATGATCTTTGCAATTTAATTTGAGAACATTGTTCTCGGACATGTATAATTTATTTATGGGACTTTAAGTCATTCTGAGACTTTCATATATATGTCACTATCAAGTGGACCACACAAATAGACGGTTACTACATCCATAAGGCACACGTCGAGCCTTTGTGACACTATTAAACTAATTAAAAATCTAAAAGTGATGGTGTTCATCACGGAAGAATATGTTTCCTTATAATCAATTCCTAGTCTTTGTGAAAAACTTTGAGCTACAAGCCAGGTTTTGTATCTTGTAATTTCATTATTTTCATATCTCTTTCGTACGAAAACCCATTTGTATCCAACGTAGATTACTTTTTCAGGTGTTCGAACTACATGCCCAAACACTTTTCGTTTATCTAAGAAATTCAATTCCGCATGTATGGATTCTTTCCATTTTGGCCAATCATTTCTATTGTAACAGTTTTTAACAAATTGTGGTTCAGAATCCTCATTTTGCATAACATCAAGAGTCGTTAAAGGCGAACATGTTGTCTATAACAGCATTATCGTGTTCCCATAATTTACGAGATAACATATAACTTATTGAAATCTTATTATTTTCAGACACTCGTGGTTATTTAGGAACCATATTTTCAATATTTGATTGATCATTCTTTTCTAATGTTACATTTTCTGAAGTTTTTAGTTCATTTCATCAAAATGAAATCTGCAAAACATACGGTAAATAAATCACCCATTAAAGGTTCAAGATACATCATAGTAGATGGTGAATCAAAATCCATATAAATCACAATTCTTCATGGGACCCATTTTAGTATGTTGTGGAGGTGAAATAATGACTTAAATAGCACAACCAAAGATACGTGAGAAATACTAGGTTCATGACCAAATGTCAGTTGTAGAGGTGAATATTAGTAAGAGGCAGTTGGTATGATACGAACCAATGATGAAGTATGTAATATGACATGACCCCAAACAGAAGTTGGGAGTGATGGCATAATGTACAAGTAGAATTATCCTATTAATAATATGCAGTTGGTCTGATACGAAACAATGACGCAGCATGCAATATGGCATGAGCCCAAACAGAAGTTGGGAGTTTTGTTTTCATAAGTAATGATCTAGCAATAAGTTGTAGATGTTTAATAAACGACTCCGCTAAACCATTTTGTATATAGACATGCGACACATAATGTTCAATAACAATCCCAATTGCATACAATAATTATCGAATGCTTGTGATCTAAATTCACCAGCATTGTCAAGACAAATTGTCTTGATTAAGTAATTGGGAAATTGAGCTCATAATTTTATGATTTTAGTAAGCAGTTTAGCAAAAACTACATTCCTAGTGGAAAGTAGGCAAATATGTCACAATTTAGTAGAATAATCAATTAATATCATAAAATAATGAAATGATCGACATAGTAGGTGTATTGGCCCACATATATGTTCATGAATTCTTTCCACGAAAGTTGGATATTCCATATTAACATTTGGAGCTGAAAGTCTAATGACTAACTTACCTTGCAGATAAGCTACACAGATAATCATTAGGTAAAAGAATTTTCTGATTTTTTAAAGGATGACTATGTAAGTTGTTTATTATTCGACGCATTATTATAGCTCTTGGATTATATCATTATAGAATGATTTTTTTGAATTATATGTAATATTATTTTATTTGCGAATATGTGGTTAAAAAGAAGAGAGTGAAAAATGTATTATAAATTTAATGGTGGCCAAACGGAGGCTAAATAATCATTAATAATTGCCTCATTATATTAGAACAATCACAACAAATATACAATTACACTCCTAACTCAATAAATACTAAGTTTACAAATTTACAGTATTGTGGTTTACTCGTTCTAAAATTAATCTCATTTTGTCATCTTTTCTCCACTACCCATTCTTCCTTACCAACTCTCCCACTCATTGGAGCATATTTTACTCAATTTTCTTCCTTTTGACTAAATTATTCTCCGTCAAATAGAAATCAAAACTAAAATAATTATAATTAATTCTATAACTCCTGTTTGGTACGGATTAAAATTCAAATTTTAATCTAAGTCAAAGTCAACAATTAATTTCAACCACATATTTCATTAATTTTTATTAAAATCTACTAAAAATTTGATTTTAATCCCTACTAAATGGGGGCTATAAATGAATTTTGCATATTTAAACTACAAAATAAATGAGTACTTTTGCAAAAACAACACCAAAGCTCCGAAATACTGTTGTTGTCGTTACTGTTGTGACCAATTATTGATACGGATTCGAACTTAAATAAAGGATTGGATGGGCGGTGAAACTAACGTTTGTTAAGTGCAAAAAAATAGCATACTACACTCAAAAAGACACTATGAGCACGACTCGTGCACATCAAAATTCAATGACTTTAGGCCACAAATCAAATGTATGTTCAGTGCAATTTTGGTACAATTTTGCAAGTTTGGTGCAATTTTAGGGCAGTGTTTGCTGATAAAGAATGATGATGTTGAGGATATGGGGTTTTGTGGTAATTTTGGTTACTTTTCCTCTACTCCCACCAAGGAAGTAGATGTTTGTAGTTCATATATGATCAAGCCGAAGCCGATTGTGGAAGATGATTATCCTTATGATGAAATTGATGTTGACAATGATGGAAGTATGCAAAGCTCAACGATTTGTTTATGGAATTATTCTAGAGAATTACATAATAGTGAATAATGTTTGGATCTTTTGCTGTATGAATCTTTGCATTTGTATCTTTAAATATGAGTTATATATCTTTTGTG